CTGCTCTGTGGCTCTGTGTGTGACAGGGTACGGAGCCCCAACCCCCCTGATGGGCCCTGCTCTGTGAGTGACAGGGGGCAACCCCCTGATCCCCCTGATTGGCCCTGCTCTGTGCGTCACAGGGGGTGGCGCCGCAACCTCCCCATCGACCCTGCCCAAATTTTTGTGCACCGGGCCTCTAGTTTATGTATATTTGTGTAAATATGAGTCAATGTAATTTTGTCTTTTGTGTAGATTTGTGGAGCCACCATCAGAATCAGGATACAGAACTATTCATCACCACCAAGATCCCTCTTGCTACTTCTTTATAATCACACCCATACTTTCCCCCTTTCCTCCTTATCTGTAACCTTGGGCAACCATTAATCTCTTCTCCATCTCTGTAATTTTATCACTTCAAAAGTGTTAGCAAGTGGAATCATACACTATGTAACCTTTTGAGATTGAGTATTTTCAGTCAGCATAATGCCCCTGAGGTTCCTTCAACTCATGTATAACCAAAGTCTACTCCCTTTCATGGCTGAGTAGTATTCCATTGTATGGATATACCATAGTTTGTTTAACCATTCATCTGTTGAAGAACAATTGGGTTGTTCCAGTTTTTGGCTAATACAAATAAACTTGCTTTGAATGCGTGTGTAAAGGTATTTGTGTGGAGTTAAGTGTACATTTTCTCTGGGATAAATGCCCAGGAATGTGAATGTTGGATTGCATGGTGTGTTTATTTTTATATAAAATTGCCAAACTTCTGTCCAGAGTGGCTATATCATATTACATTGCCACCAGCATTTGGTACTGTCAGTATTTTTTTTTTTAACGTTAGCTATTCTTATAGGTGCGTGGTAATATCATGGTTTTAATTTGCATTCCCTACTGGCTAGTGATGTTGAACATTTATTCCTAGTTTTTGATGTGATAAACAATGCTAAAATGAATATCTTTATTTGAATAAATTTTAAGTTAATTCCTACAAATGAATTCTTTAAAGTGGAGTTGCTGAACAGGCAGATTTTTTTAAAGTACCAATTTATATCCCTATCAGCAGCATATAAATTACTCAGCTTTTAAATCATACCTAATGCTCTCACTATCTCCCCTAATAAGTTTAAAAGACACTTCTTAGGGAAATTAAAAAAAAAAATGGGTTGCCTAAAATCTCAAAAGATCAGGAAATTAACCAACCGAGGTCCTTCTCCAAGGACAGCCCTCATTCAGACATGCGCTTAATATTTTCATTAAACACGTACCTTTATGGGCAATATGACACAGATCTTCTTGCATTTTAGAAAACTCAGATGAGGTTTCAGAGCCATCAGAATTATTTTTCTCTTCTCCAAATTCTAGTGTTGACAAATTAGGATTGGAAGAATGCAGTCTTTGTGGGCCACCAAAAGGTTTAGGGACCTAAAGTAACATCAAAAGGAGATATTTCTTTAGAGATGCAAATTGCTCAGAATATTTACTTGTTTCTAAGATTGGAAAGTAGTAAGAAAAGGTCAATATGTAGGAAAGTCTTACTATTGAATGATTACTCATAAGAAAAATAAATGAAAATTCAGGAAAGCACTTTCTACCACAAGTTGTACTGGCTTCTTGCAAAAATAAAAATGGGTGAAAGCCCTAACTAGTTTGGTTCAGTGGTTGAGCGTGGGCTTGCAGACTGGAGGGTCCCGGTTTGATTCTGGTCAGGGCACATGCCTGGGTTGTGGGCTCGATCCCCAGTAGGGGGCATACAGGAGGCAGCCAATCAATGATTCTCATCATTGATGTTTCTATCTCCCTCTCCCTCTCCCTTCCTCTCTGAAATCAGTAAAAAAAATATTTTTTAAATAATGGGTAAGACCCTAGCTGGTTTGGCTCAGTGGAAAGAGCTCGGCCTGTGGACTAAAGGGTCCCAGGTTCGATTCTGGTCGAGGGCATGTACCTTGGTTGCAGGCATATTCCCAGTAGGGGGTGTGCAGGAGGCAGCTTATCGATGTTTCTCTCTCATTGATGTCTCTAACTCTCTATCCCTCTCTCCCTTCCTCTCTGTAAAAAAAATCAATAAAATATATTTGCAAAAGAATGGGTAAGAAAGCACATATAATATAGTCTGCCTTTATCCGTGGGGATATGTTAAAAGACCCCATGGACACCTGAAACTGTGGATAATACTGAACCATATAGGCAGGCAATTTAAAACTTACGAATTGTTTATTTTCGGAATCTACCTTTTCATGTTTTTGGACTGCGGTTCACTGTGGAAAACCAAAACCACAGAAAGCAAAACTGCAGTTAAGGGGAGACCGATATATTCTCTGGAAATGATAGAAGCATTAAAGCCATAGGTTGAAAATGATGGCTAAAGCTGCCGGGCTCTTCCTCATTATATTCAGTTCCTTCCTCCCAGCAATAATCATCCAGTGTCTAGCTTGTTAATAGTGGATAGGTTTAAAAATGTTTTCTTTGTTTGTCCCTGGTGCTTCTAGAAAATGAACTAACTTCTCACATATTTGTACACAAATCACTCTTTACTTTGAAAGTATTTAGGTTCAACCCATAAAGTGCTTTGAACCAAAGAGTCTACAAGAATACAGCAGATGACTTATCTGTAACTTTCTGATTTATCTGGACCCGAATATTGTTGCAATTTAACATGCAATGGCCAAGCTGCAAATCTTGGGCTCCAGCTTAGCTATGCATTGGGAAAGTCAGCAGCTAGTGTGACACAGTAAACCTCTGACGGGAAAATTGGAGACAAGAAGCAAAAGAGCATCTGCACAATGTGCTGTTCCCAGAAACTCTAGCCCGTGGGCTCAGAGGGTGAGGAACCCACTGAGCAGCAGCGGAAGAGGCGGGTCAGAGCACCTACCCAAGCAGGGAAGCAAGCAGGCAGGCTAAGCATTAAAGAATGAGAAGCCAAAGCCCTCGAAATGGCTCTAGTCCCTCCAACCTCATGCCATTTCCCTTACCCAGTATTACATGCCTGTCCTAGTGCCCAGAAAAATCTCAGTGACCTAATTCCTCTCTCTGCACAGGGTATTTGATAGAATAATTAGAATCTTCACCTGTCTATTCTATTCTCCTACTTGAGTTCAAGTAGCCCCCGCCACGTGGCGTGCAGAAAAGGGCCAGTGGAGGAGCCAGTCCCCTGGGGAAGCAGTGGTTACCTGTAGTGTTCCTTTAGCATCTTTGCCAATAGCTCGGGACCGCCACCTCCTGTGCGATCTTTTCTCCTTTTTGGGAGTTTCAAAAGCTCCACCCTTCGTTTCAAAATGGGAAAGAGAGCACAGACAGTAAGATCCACCAACCAATAGGGGAAAACGCACAGCAAAGTAACCACCTCCATCCCCTTAAACTTGGACCAAGCACCGAACCAGACAACATCCACTGTTAGTGAAAGGCGGGGAGGAGAAAGGAAAGCAGGAGAGCACCAGGATGCAAACAGAAGAGGGACCTGGCTCACCTGGATGGCGTTGATAGCTGGCGCCGAATACGTCCGATGCAGGACGTCCATGCTCTGCAGGAGCTGGCTCATTTCCACCAGGTAGGAGTGGCAGTGTGCCAGGTCTGCGGGAGAAAAGCAAAAGGCCGGCTCAGGGGCATTTATCTGGCATTTAGGCATCGCTGTGCTAGCACAGCTACTTTTCTCATTTATTGGTATCTGATGTGCACCTGTTAGGACAGGAAATTTGACTTCCTTTTTTATAGGAGAGGCAGTAGACCAGTGATGGCGAACCTTTTGAGCTCGGCATGTCAGCATTTTGAAAAACCCTAACTTAACTCTGGTGCTGTGTCACATATAGAAATTTTTTGATATTTGCAACCATAGTAAAACAAAGACTTATATTTTTGATATTTATTTTATATATTTAAATGCCGTTTAACAAAGAAAAATCAACCAAAAAAATGAGTTCGCGTGTCACCTCTGACACGCGTGTCATAGGTTCGCCATCACTGCAGTAGACTGTCGTGGTTAAAGGTGTGCCCCTGGAGAACCAGGCTGCCTCCATTTGAATGCACTTCATGAACTGTGACTCTTTGGCAAATTATGTAACTGCTGCATGCCTCAGTTTTCTCATCTGGAAAGTGGGGATAATTATACACCTAGCTCACAGTTGTGAGTTAAATGAGCTAATATATGCAGTGTGCTTTTAGAGTGCTGGCACATTGTAAGCACAAACTGAGCCATCATCATCATCACTTTTAATATTGCAATAACAGGGCAACACTGTCCGCTTATAAGGACCCGGTACAAGTTAAATGGTGCACTTCTGCAGACTGACCTAAGAGGACCTAAGATATTCTCGGACCAGTTCCTGGGTCACTAACTCAAAAACTGTCCTCAATTTGCTGTTTACTGGGTGACACCAGCTGTATCTGCCGAGGAATCAAAGCCCAAATGCATTAAGACAGTGGCTCTCAAACTCTGGGGCCAGCAGAATCACCCGGAGAACCTGTACAACCACAGATCGCTGGAGTCCACCTCGGTTTCTGACTCAGACTATCGGGGTTGGGCCTGAGACTCTGCGTTTCTAAGTTCAAAGGCCAGGCCAGTGCTGTTGGTCCATCCCCTGGAACAATACTTCACGGACTACTGTTACTCAGTGAAGCTCGAGAGTGATATTTACTGAGAGGGCAAAGCCTACATGGTAATATCACTCACCAGAAGCAAATGCAGTTTTCAAGGCTACCACCCGGTGCCTTTCTCTAACTGTGGTTCTCAGTCATGGCTACACCTTACCATCAACTGGGGAAATTGTTTAAATGTCCAAGTCCCACCCCCAAACAATTAAAGCAGAACACCTACAATCCCACGGGTGACTATTCTGTTATTTAGTTCCCTGGGCGATTCTTAGCTAATTATGGTTGAGAACACTGAGCAGCCTATGGCAAGACTCGTCAATCCTGGCTCCTTATTAGAATCACTTAGGGAACTTTAAAAAATCAGTGATGCTAGGGCCCTACTCCAAACCAACTGAAAGAGATTCTTCGGGGGAGGGGCCCGGGCACGGGTACTCTTGCATTTTGAAAGCCTCTTGGTTACTCTAATGTGCAGCCAGGGCAGAGAACACCTGTTTTGTGTGGGTCTCCGCTGGCCTCTAGAACAGTGATTCTCAATCCTTTTTGGCATTTAAACAAATAGACAGCGTGCAGACCCCACCCTGGAGGCTGTGGTTGAATAAGCCCACGTGGAAATCAGCATCAGTACTTGAAGGATAGAAAAGAAAAGCTGTCTGCATGCACCCCCCGCTCCCCCTGGCAATGAGGAGAGTGTTCTTTGTTCATCACGAGTGCAAACTCAATCAGCAAAACAGGAGCAGGAGTGTGGACAGTGATGGGCGGGATGCAAGTGCGCCCGAGGTGTCAATGCTGAACCCGGTCGATCCAAGAGCGAGGAGGGAGAGAGGCCGAGGTGTCCAGTGGCCCTACCTTTCGAGCACTGCTCCATGTCCTCCGAAGACTGCAACCACAATGGGACGCGAATCTCTCCACAGGAAAAGGATAAATTGCCTCCGGTTTGAAACGAGTTCTGCTTTGATATACTGCTACGCTGTTCCACAGATGACAAGAACACAGTATAAATGAAGACACAGCCCGTGGGAACACTCTAAGGTCAAAGGATAGCCACGTGGGCTAGTCCCTAAGGGAAGCCATCTGCCTGGTGGGGAAAGAAGCTTCTAGCAAAGCCCTCCAGTGAAGAACCTGGCTCTGGCTGTCACCCGGCCAGGCCAGGAGGCCTTGGACTGCAGTCCTTCTATCCAATGATAATCATATCAAAATCACGATAAATGTTGGGGGACTTTGCAATCCCACGTGGCTATCAATGCACGTACTGCATTTTACAACCAGATAAGAAAACCAAAGTCAAGCTGGTCAAGAGGAAGGTGGAGCATGCGGGGTATAAAGTGCCTCTTCACATGCTACTCTCCAGCTGTCGTCCCAGAGGGAACACGCTCCCTGGCCCTGGTGACTCATGGGACCAATGGGCTCATTAAATACCAGCTCAGGCTTCCCTGCTCCTCCCCTCCAACCATTCCTTCCTCAGACCCAGCCCCCTCCCCCAGCAGGACTCCCCCACCCAGAGCCACCCCTTTGTTAGGGTCATTACTGGCAAATTATTACCTTCCTACTTGAGAGGGAGTCCAAGACCCCAGGCGCGGAGTCTGTGACGGAGGGCCCCGGGAAGAAGTGGTTCACTTCGTGGGGAAACATGGCGATCTCATTCTGACGATACATCCGATGGTGGCGGAGTTTGGACACCCACTCGTCAAAGACGTCATCTGACTTGACCTACATTGTGTTAGGTTGGAAGAAGGAAATAAGAGTGTCACTCAAGAGCGTTACTGGCGCACGTAGAAATGTAGAAATGCCAGCTTATTGACTTAGTTTACATTATGTGATCTATGGGACAAGTTGAGGAGGAAAGAGAGTAAAAATGGTTTTGTAAACTATACATTTAGGTTTTCTATGAAAGGGTCCAGCTGCTACACTAATAGTAGGAAAGCAAAACAGTATCAGTTATAGTGAACAACAAATAAAACTGAACTTTATATTTCTCTGTCTCAAAGCATTTCCAAGTCCTGTGTGTCAGCTTATCCTATCCCTGCTTAAAATATTAGCACCCTGTTTTCTTTTTAAACTCTTTCATAATTTGGACTTTTCAGATCAATCTTCTCTGAACTGGAATGACTTAGCAAATTCTTCCTAAAATATTTAACCTTGTAAACCTCTGTCAGAGGATCCATTGCTGAGGAATATGTTAATGAATGTGAAGGTTATTTAAAAGAACATTTCTCCTGCTCTCAGAAATAGAAAGAATCTGATAAAGTATTATTGGAGATTTCCAGGGTTTTTCAAACTCACACACACAAACATTTAGCTATTTCTTGCCCTGGCCGGTGTGGCTCAGTTGGTTGGGCATCGTCCCATGTATCAGGAGGTTGCTGGTTCAATTTCCCATCAAGACACACATTGATTGGCTGCCTCCTGCACACCCCCTACTGGGTTGTGGGCTTAATCCCCAGCAGGGAATGTGCAGGAGGCAGCCAATCAATATTGCACTCTCACATAGATGTTTCTCTCTCTCCCTCGCCCTTCCTTTCTCTCTAAAAATCAATAGATTTCAAATGTTCATAAAAGTACTACAGAAAATACTACCAACACCTATACAGCATAGACACTTCTTAAGTCAATATTTTTGTGGGTGTGTGAGTATATTAAATATTTCCAAAATGAAAAAATGATAGATTCTTGTATATTAGAACACAGACTCATAGAGTAACAACTTATAATACCCCCAAAGGATGTGTAGTAGGTTCACTTCTAAGAAAAATTTAGGTCAATGCTGTTAAAATCTTTACAAATGCCACTGCTGAGAGCAAGGATGTGGAAATAAATGTCAGCTGCATCATTCACGTGGGAAATGGTAAGTTGGCTCTTATGTTTGTTGTGTTATTAGAAGTAAGTACAAGACTTAAAACCTCTCTAAGTGCTCTTGAATGTGTCATGTACAGGAAGAAGCAATACAAACAGGCTCATCTCTCCATCTCCCCTAAATTATGTCCTTGAAATAGATTTCATTTCCCAGGTGCGAATCTATGTCATCCTGTGCACCGATCTGCTCTCAGAGGCCCTTGAAAATCAGTGCCCAAAGTGTTCATCTGGACTCATTTTGTATTGGTTAAACAGGACAGGAAAATAAAAAGCACTTTGTTAAACAATGGACCAGGGATCTGTTTCAGCCCCTTAAATAGTTCTAGGACTGTGGGTGGACAGCCAAGTCACTCTGCTACCAGATCCCTCATCCATAAAATAAGAGAGCGGCACTGGATGACCCACATTTAAAACTGCCTGCCTCAGGCTACTAAGTAGGACCTTCTGATAACTACACGTACCTACACTGACAGTCACAGCTCATATTCAAGAGAATGAGCAAGAAGCACAAACAGAACTTCAGCGGAATCAACTCAGAGAAGTATGAAACTGTGTTGTCATGATTTTTTTTTGGCTCAGTTGGTTGGGCATCGTCCCATGTATCAGGAGGTTGCTGGTTCAATTTCCCATCAAGACACAACATTGATTGGCTGCCTCCTGCACACCCCCTACTGGGTTGTGGGCTTAATCCCCAGCAGGGAATGTGCAGGAGGCAGCCAATCAATATTGCACTCTCACATAGATGTTTCTCTCTCTCCCTCGCCCTTCCTTTCTCTCTAAAAATCAATAGATTTCAAATGTTCATAAAAGTACTACAGAAAATACTACCAACACCTATACAGCATAGACACTTCTTAAGTCAATATTTTTGTGGGTGTGTGAGTATATTAAATATTTCCAAAATGAAAAAATGATAGATTCTTGTATATTAGAACACAGACTCATAGAGTAACAACTTATAATACCCCCAAAGGATGTGTAGTAGGTTCACTTCTAAGAAAAATTTAGGTCAATGCTGTTAAAATCTTTACAAATGCCACTGCTGAGAGCAAGGATGTGGAAATAAATGTCAGCTGCATCATTCACGTGGGAAATGGTAAGTTGGCTCTTATGTTTGTTGTGTTATTAGAAGTAAGTACAAGACTTAAAACCTCTCTAAGTGCTCTTGAATGTGTCATGTACAGGAAGAAGCAATACAAACAGGCTCATCTCTCCATCTCCCCTAAATTATGTCCTTGAAATAGATTTCATTTCCCAGGTGCGAATCTATGTCATCCTGTGCACCGATCTGCTCTCAGAGGCCCTTGAAAATCAGTGCCCAAAGTGTTCATCTGGACTCATTTTGTATTGGTTAAACAGGACAGGAAAATAAAAAGCACTTTGTTAAACAATGGACCAGGGATCTGTTTCAGCCCCTTAAATAGTTCTAGGACTGTGGGTGGACAGCCAAGTCACTCTGCTACCAGATCCCTCATCCATAAAATAAGAGAGCGGCACTGGATGACCCACATTTAAAACTGCCTGCCTCAGGCTACTAAGTAGGACCTTCTGATAACTACACGTACCTACACTGACAGTCACAGCTCATATTCAAGAGAATGAGCAAGAAGCACAAACAGAACTTCAGCGGAATCAACTCAGAGAAGTATGAAACTGTGTTGTCATGATATTAGCATGTCATGTGTCTTCAGGCATTCTAGTTCTTTAAAAATTAGGAATTAGAAATGACTTTTATTTGGTAAACTAGAATAGTGGATGAACAAGAACCTATAATTTCCTGGCCGTGTCAAAACACAGAACTAAGAGACATTCAAGTACAAGGAGAAATGACCTAAATTATTGTAAAGAAGATTGACCATTTAAGTGGGGGTGGGGAAAATATTCTTTCTTAAAGCTTTCTTTTAAAGATAATAGGCCTCTGCTTCCTTTACTTCACACCAGTTGTTCTCAGCCAGGGGTGGATTGCCCCTCCCCCCAGGGACACTGGCGATGTCTGGAGAATTTTTTTGGTTGTCATAACTGGAGGGGGTTGTTACCAACATCTAGAGGCCAGGGATGCCACTCAACATCCTGCAATGCACAGGACAGGCCCTCATGGCAAAGAACCCTCCAGCCCACCATGTCACTAGCGCTGAGGGTAAGAAACCCTGCTTTACACAATTCACCGTACCCACAGGGAGAGGGCCCTGGGCTAGGAAGCAGAATGGACTTGACTGTCTTGTGTGGTCAATGGATCACATGTACATGTTACATGTCTATTTGCCCAAGCACCACACACATACAAGCTATGGGAGGACAGGGAGCTCATAATCTCATGCTTTCACTCTCCCAACCCTCAGCCCCCACTGCCAAGTCCAGATAATGTGCCCAAGTAAGAAAAAGTGTCTTAACATTTTCTAACTTCTAATATTTGGGTCCTGTCTAATAATTATATATAATAACTAAACTTACTGAGATTACTATGGGCCAGGCATTAGGCCAAGTTTTCTACATGAGGCCCTACAAGACGAGCACTATAATAATTCCCATTTTGGGGTGTGAGAAAACTGAGGCCTTCAGACATTAAATACTTTGCCAAAGGCCAAGAGCGAGTAAGTAGCCAGGTCAAGCATTGAACCACATCTGAACCTCCGAAGCTCTTGTCTCATGCTCTCAACCATCTCTCCCACCTGCAGGAGATGGGGACGGCAGGCAGTTAAGCAGCTTTGAGAAGTACTGTTTGGAGGCCCACACTTCAGGGGGAAATTCCTGGCATTCAATGCAATATGAGAAATTTAATGGAACCCATATAAAATTAGCCAAAGTTGTAAGTCAGGCTAAATATTAAATATTATATTTCAAGGAATATATTTTAAACTATGGTAAATGGCTCTTCACTAAACATGGTACTGTATTTGGAAACATGAAGATGTTTTTATCATTGATCACTGCCATAACTACGAAGAGGTATTAGGGGATGCGGAGACAAGGATGCTAAACCTCCAGCAGTGTGGGCCCATCAGAAATACTTTCATAGGGAAGGTCTACATGTTGGCTGGACATTCAGAAGTCTTCAAAAGGCACCGTCAATAGTGCTGCACTGCAACATAAAGCAGCTCTGCCCTGGAGCCAGCAGCCGGGAGGGGCTCACCTTCAGGTGGTAGATGTGCTCCTCCGTGTCCAGGTCTATGCACTTGGATGACTTCTTCACAGACATCACCGAGAGCCCCACATCGATGCAGCCATGCAGCTTCTCTCTGTCGATCTGCAGAGGCAGGAGGAGGGCCCCTGAGAACCGGACGCCGCAGTGGTGGTGGTAACATCCTGGACACCCCTTCACCGGCCACAGCCACTAACAGTCGCCCTAAGAACTCCGATTTATCAAGCACCCAGTGTGACCCAGTACTGAGTTCCAAGTGCTGCACAGGCGTCATCTTGTTTAATCTGTGCGGGGCTATGTAACAAATGGTTCACCCAGCCAGTAAGTGAGGAAGCAAGAAGGTGAGCCCCATGGACTGACTCCACAGCAGCGAATGCACCTTTAACTGCACTTCCTCCCACAATTCTTGCTCCTGTTAAATTCACAGGGAAGTGATTTAAAAAGAGGGGTAGGGACAGGAAGCTAAGACAGGCTACTGTGGGTCCAACATTACACCAAATGTTCTGTACGCAACTGTACAAGATGAGCGCTGTAAAGGCGAGGAGAGGAAGGGGGATGGGAGAAGTGCTGGGTGAGAGAGGGGCCCCTACGAGGGGCAGAAACAAGGGGACCATCGTATCACCTTCACTAAGGGTTCTCCACCAAACCCCCCAGTCACCGTTACACTTGCCCTATGTCTTGCTCCTGTTATCTCGTTGCAGAAATGTCTTCTCCCACCCAGAGTACCCCTCAGCTGACCTAAGGCCAGCACAGACCCCTGGGTACACAGTAGGGTGTTGAGAGGAGCCCCCACCTCCACTCAGCAGGGGAACTGAGCCTACCTAGAACCTAGGGCTGGGGAGCAGCCACCCTGTTCCATATTACCCTTGTGGCTCTAGCTCAGAGAAATGGAATCCCGTCCCCCACCATGGACACAATCTCATTCATGAGTTGACAACAACAAGCCCTTCTGAATTCGTCAACAGCACATTGATGAACAAGGAGACTTACATCAGTTTGGCTCTTGGCATACTTCAAGATTCCTTTGTCCAGATAGAAGAATCTCTGTGGGGAAGGAAGTATAAATCACGAACACATTCCATTTAAATGCCCGGTCTTCCTTGGTCACCATTTTCAACTTCAAATTAAAATACAGGTGAGGCCCAGGCCAGCGTCTTACCTTGTGCCAGCCTTTCAGGGGCCACTTCCGCTTTTTCAGCAAAAATCCTTTCTGAACTGGTGGCTCCTGGGTGTAATTCACCTCTCCCCTCAGTCCTTCCACCACCTCCCAGCTGTCCTGTTCCAACAAGAGAGGTCATGCTAAATCACTGTCTTTCAAAACAATAATGACATTAAGAAGCACTTCGTTCTATCTGAAAATCCATCCAAGATGGTGAGCCTGGCTGGGTTGGTTGGGGAGAAGAAATTCAAATTTAATTTTTATACCATTCCTGGATTTTATAGTCTTAATGCTATAATTTAATTGCATCAAGTTTATTTAATTTTTTATTTCCCAACAAGGCTCTCTTACAAGGGAATGTTTCTCTCTCTTTTGGTGCTTGAACCTTGGCAACTACAACTAGGGATAAACTTCGCTGTTAAGTTCTATTTCTGTTCCCTTTGACATTATCACACAGTTACTGTTTACTCACCAGTAGACCTCAGTCTGAATTTTAACCAAAAGCTACAGACATGAGGATGGAAGTGGGGGTGGGCTGAGGTGGGAATGTAGGAAAACGGGCTTAAAAATTGGCTGAAAAGTTTCAGACCAGATGCAAGTTGGCAAACATGACAATGTGGTCAAATAATGTTTTAGTTGCAGGTTAATATCTTCAAATTCTAGTTATTTTAGTGAAAATCCTGAAGCATCAAAAAAATGCTTTTACAACAAGCATTTTGATCTTTTTTCCCCCCCAGAAATTTTGTTCCTTTCCCCTTTCTTTTGTTTGCAATTTTGAAGATGTACAAACAATTGTTACAATTAATCTTCCATCGTTCCCTATTTAGGTTATTTCAAGTAACTGATTGAAAAAGAATTTTAAAAAGGAATGCAGCCCAGCCGGTGTGGCTCAGTGGTTGAGCATCAACCCATGAGCCAGGAGGTCACAGTTTGATTCCCAGTCAGGGCACATGCCCGGGTTTCAAGTTCGATCCCCAGTAGGGACATGCAGGAGGTAACCAATGGACGATTCTCATCATTGTTGTTTCTATCTCTCTCTCCCGTCCCCCTTCCTCTCTCTGAAATCAACAAAAACATTTTTTAAAAAGGAATGCAAAATAAAAACACTAAAAATTCTGAAGAGTTATTTTTACATGCTCGACAACGCATAAATCATTGCAAAATTACCCCAAGATAGACCAAAATTGGCAGTACTTCAGTGCCTACGATAATGGAGTTTTGGGTTATTATTATTTTTACATTTTTATTGGAATGCACAAATCTTAGTATAACTGAATAAATTTATACACCTATATCCTTTGTAACTACCATCTAGATCAGAGAGAAAACATTTCGAACACAGGTAATTAAGTTTTGACAAATATTCCCCGTTACTGAGATATTACTGGCATATAACATATAAGTAATTTCAAGGCATAAAACGTGATGGTTTAAATCACCTCCATTCCCTCACAGAATTACCACTTTTTCTGTTGGTGCAGATAACATTTAAGGTCTACTTTTCTTAACAACTTTCAGTACGTAATACAGTACTGTTCATTATAGTCACCATGCTGTACATTAGATCCCCAGAACTTTTCATGTTATAGCTGGGCATGTGTGCCATTTGACCAACATCTCCCCACTGCCCCACCCCAACCCCCCGCCTGACAACCACCATTCTATTCTCTCTTTCTATTAGTTTGGCTTTTTTTTAGATTCAGTATCTAAGTGCGAATGTATAGTATTTGTCTTTTTCTGATTTATTTCACTTAGCATAATGTCCTCAACATCCATCCATGGTGTCACAAAAGGCAGGATCCTTCTTTTTATGGCTGAATAATATTCGTGTGTGTGTGTGTGTGTGTGTGTGTGTGTGAATGTTGTACAGTCTTTATCCATCCATCCATTAGTGGACATTTGGATTGTTGCCAGGTCTTGGCTATTGTGAATAATGCTGCAATGACAAATATGTCCTTTAGCCAAGATTTCATGTTAACTTGCTCTTAGTCGAATCTCCAGCCTACAGGCAGGTGGTGTGGGTAGAAGCCAGAGGGGCTGGGAGATGGATAGTAAGTCTGGACCAGTACCAAGGGGCAGAAGCAATTAGACTCAAGTCTCAGAAAAAGGTGATCTAATGGGAAACACAGGAAGTCCTGGGTGCTCTGGCTTGGTTTCCATGCTGTCCTTAAGGCCAATACATGGGAAATGTCTGGTAACAAGAACACTGTCCTATGTTAGCAACTGAACTCTTTATATAACAATCCTGACAGATCTGCCTTCTATCTGACTGCACTTGACTGCGAATGCAGTTAGAGGTACATCCGAGAGTTTTAACATGGTGGCAGTCTCCCAGGATCTGGAGTTGTAAAAGGGAATTATTCAGTGGAAAAAGCAAAACTTCAATTCAGCACTTAAGTCAGAGAACATTTTCAGAAAAACAGCAACGTCAAATGAGATTTCTTTATAGTAATTATTAAAAGTCTCTTAATTACATCCAGAAAATAAATGGAAAATACATATTATTAAGTGATGGAAAGGCACATATACACAATATTTTTCTGCTCATATTTGTTTCAGCTCAGAAAGCCATTCCTCAAAGTTTAAAATGTCTTACCTGTTAAAGCTTTAATTAATCTTAAAGGTCATAAAGTTAAAAATTCCACTTCCTCCAGGAAGCCTTCTTCAAATAAAGTACTATTTCATCCCTAGAAATATCAACATTCCATTTACCTTTCCAATGGCTAACCACTTATTTACTGGTATGGTTTTCTCATCCCTACTGGACACTAGACTTCCTGAGGGTTAGAGTGTGTGTGGTTCACTTCTGAACTCCACACAGTGCCTAGCCTGCACTGTGCACAGGATGCATCCCATCGGCAAGTGAATAAACTTGGTCCTGGCATAAGACTGCAAACAGATTATGTTCTTAGAATATCATGAATTGGCATGCATTGGAAGTGTACCAAATATATTTGGACCAAATGACTATTTACAAATCAAACAGCACATTCGGATATGCGAAAGTGGGTGTGTGTACGTTATCATTGTTCAATGAAAATTTAAGGCTGAAAATCTTCTGGAACATGCTCTAAGGGAATCAAGTCCTTTCGATTTGTTTGTTTTAAGACTCCCAAGCAGAAGGTAACATGCCGAGTACTAATACTAGGCCATCATGCACATCTGCTCAATACATTCAATTATGCAAAATGCAGTGTCAGGGGGGATGAAATGCCACTGCATACTTTACAAAATGGAAAAAAAAAGTGGATTGAGACCATACCTGTAGTTTAAAGGAAAAGAAGAGTTAAATTTCGATAATGTTTCCAGTATTCACAATAGGCCTCCATTCTCCTGAACTCTTGAGACGTAGGACATTCCTACCAAGGAGCCAATGTGGCGAGCAGAGAATTAGATGAGGTTTGTTGGCTCTTAAGGTAAATAAGCCAAACAGGGTTCACATTTATTTGTACAAAATATTCTCCTTTTTCCTTACGTCATCTTCTACCTGGGCTCAGAATGTAAAACCCTTACCAAACACCAGCTTTAAAGAACATTTAAGAAAGTGAAGGCTCTCCCGGGCGAAGGAAGAAGGCACCGCAGCCAACTCCTCTTCTGGGCTTGGCATTCAAAGCCTGCCTCCCCACTTCCCTGTCTGTCACCATCCTGGACCCTCAGGGCTGAAACCTGAGCCCACACCCCACCAGTGTTCTCAGTTGGGGGGCGTACTGCTCCCTCTGAGGCTGGGAGCCAGAGATGGTAGATACCCATAATGCCTGCCATTTAAAAAACACAAAGAATAGTGCCTGGGGAAAGCCATCCAGTGAGGTCTGACTGACACAACGCATAAATACCACAATGTAAACAGTGATCCTATAAAAGGACTGGAGCAGACTTTCCAGCTGGCGGAAAGCAGGGACCTTCCCTGTCTTATTCACTACCTAATAGCACAGAGTAGGCATCAATATGCTGAACGAATTAATGAGGCAATTCCAATAGCTAAGATTTATTAAGCATCAGGCAGTGTGCTAATCACCATACTCACAATATTGCTTTTACTTCTTGCACAATCCTGTGATATGGGATTTAGTAGTATCTTTATTTTTCTGAATATGGAAACTGAGGAAGGGAGGATTAGAAAACTTCCCCAGTGCTACAAAGCTGCCCAGGGAGAAAGCCGCCTAACTGAAAATCTACATCTTTAATCATTCTACTCCATATGCACACTGTATATTCTACCGTACTTTAAACATGTGAATTCTGATGATGAACCAGAAATAAATGCATGGAGCAGGGAAACGGGAATAAATCCAGGAGGTGGCCAAGATCCTGAAGCAATGGTTAAGAAACACCCACCTATGGACAAAGACAAGCAAGGTCTGAGACCCTGCTGAGACCTACCAGTTTCCTGCAAGGTAGTCCCTTGGTGGGGGGCGGGGAGGGGGGGGAGTGCGGAAGTCAGCCATGCATTTTAATGCTGCCAAGTCTTTGCTCCTTGCCTTTTGTATATCTGAATGTCTGCTCCATCTACTTCTCAGTGGGGAATTCTCATTTAGCCCCAAACTTCCTCAGACAGAATTCCCTCCTTCCTTGGCGCCTACACAAACCTCACTGGCATTTTCCTCCCTATCTAGAATTCGGGATCCGTGGGGACAGGAGCTCGATACTGTTGGTTATAATCTCACTGCTTTGGACATAGGGCCCTAAATATAGTTACTGAATGAGTCTTAGCAGCAAGGGGTGGGGTATAAAAAGGACCCCACAAGGCCCATGGGTGAAGGAATTGAATACTGTGTGCTGGATTTGGATGGATTGGTACTCAGGACAGAAAAGAGCAGAGATGCCAGTTGCTCTTGGCTAAAAGGCCTGGGTGGCAGGGAGTGGCTCCACTTGTTCCTCACATACGCAGTGGCCCGGGAGCAGGGCATGCACCTTGAGCTGAGATGCACAGCACAGGGTGGACTTGACCCTGGGAAGAGCAAGGCCCTGCTGACTTAGCTCAACGTCCTGGGCTGATATCCTGCCCTAGGGCTGTCAGGCTTAAAGCTCACCATGAACAGCAGGTGGAGAGAGAACTATGATGGGGTGTGGGGGAAGTGGCTTCTTAAGGCTTCTGCTTGAGTTAACTGAAGACAGTC